TAATGTACAGTATTTGAAAAATAATGTGTTTTTTGAACATTAAAGCATGTCAACATATTCTGTTACACCAAATACATAAAATAATGATCTTTAAAAAAAGCATCATATGACCCCTTTAAATAAATAGCAAATGTGGACCTCATTCATGAAACACAAACAAAATGAATGTGTGTGAATTGTTCATAAAACATTCTTACACAAGCTGTTGTATTGAATTTAATGGTTTTAACAAACCTTATGGCTTTGAATCGTGAATGAAGCCCAGTGTCTGTTAAGCCACTTCAGTTAGCATGCAAATATCATGAAATGATTGTCAAAAAGCTGAAAAAATTAAGCCAAAATCACCCAGTCCTAATTTTCATACATTGCATAGTAGAACATAAAATTAAAATTTTTTAAAAATGTAATATAATTTTACTAGGCCATTTCACAGTAAAAACATAAAATAAAAATCAAAAATGTCTATGTGCAGTTATTCCATACGTAATATTATACAAGATGATTTTAAAGCCTGGAAATCCATGGAAACTCCACGCAAACTTAATAAATCACTGTCACTTTCTGTCTGCACTCTCACCTGTCCAGTTTAAACTTCTTCTTTTTAGTTGACTTGACTCGGGTTCTTCATTGAAACGTCACGATCCCTGTTGATTGCCCAACAGGTCGAGGAAGCAATGCTACTTAATGAAATAACATGTAATTTATTCTGTACTTCTGACCAGAGTGCAGTGGGGGTGAAGGAAGCCAAGGTAAGAACAAGCAGAGCAAACACATTTATTTATGTTTTTATCCAAAAGAAAGGTTCTCTCAAATTCTCAGCTGCTTCCATTTCTGTCACGATTTTTTTTTTCTTAAATCAACTTGCTGAATGCTTAAGGCATTTGTTTGGCGTGTTTGTGTAGCTCTCTGCTCGCTGTGTCAGAATGAAGGTGTACACAGAAGAGGAAAGCTGAATAATTGACTAATGTCACCAGGGAACATTAGGCTGGATTTGTGCTGTACTCAGCTCCCAGTCTTCTTTTGACCCTCAGTCTGGCTTTCTGTTTTTTTTTTGCTATGTCTTTCACATCACATTTTTCTGGTCAGAAGGGCACAAATCTTTACAGAAATAAATAAAAATAACATCCAAATATCAGTGGATAACCCTAGTCAATGAGCTCCACACAGAAGGAGATATCAAAGATGCTTCTCTGCTCTGATCTTCCTCTAGTTTAAGTTTCTCATCTTTCCTCTTTTCCCTCTTAATAACTGGGCTCCACTCTTGTTTCGATGATGTCTTGCTGTATCTCTGGCCTTCTTCGTGCTTTAGAGGGGAATGAGGATTTGCTGTGTCACACCTTCGTCTCTGTGATTGTCCACTTCCTGTAAGTGCCTGTGTTACTGAGCTCGATGCCCCTCCCCTTCCTGTCGTTGCAGCCCGAGGACATCGGTTCTGCACCCATCGTCAACGCACCAGAGGGGAGCAAAGTGGACATCGAAGCCTTCAGTCAGTTTACAAAAATTATCACCCCCGCCATCACTCGTGTTGTGGATTTTGCCAAAAAGCTGCCCATGTTCTGTGAGGTAAGAACGGCGTACCATGCATCAAACACAGGAAATGAAACTGAGCGGTTGGTCAATGTGGGTCGATGCACGGTGGCCGATAGAGCTCAACACGCTGCAAATGAAAAAACACGTGCAAATTAAGAAAACATCTTCATTAGTTTGACAACATTCGCGCGCTGCAATGCTCACAACACAACCAAACAAAGAAGAGACCACTTCGGAAAGGTTTAAGGGAACTGCAAAGTGACGAACATGACTGGGACATGTTTATCAATGTTTGCTCTGAAAGCTGAGATTTTTGTTTATTTTAACATCCTGATCATACGATTCCTTTG